TTTTTTTTTTGTTTTTGTTTTTTGGTAATCATTACAAACACCCAATCCAGGTATGGAACTGTTTAATACATTTGAAATGAGGCCAATTAAAAACAAATATAGACACAAAATGAATCTTTGTCTAGAGAGTCCACACTTTCCCCATTTTCTGGTTTCCACATGATGGCCCCCATCCCTAAAAAAAAAAAAATTAAATTAAAGTCCTACAAATAAAAATTTTTTAACAGCAAGAAAATAAAAGAAGAACATGCTTTTCAAGTAAGCACTTATTCCACAAATGCAACATCGTTCCATGGATTTCATTTGAAGCTGCGTGGGACACTGTCGTCTCAGCAATCCCCCTTCCCTTTCTTCCCTCCCCCCCTCCCCCAACCCTTCCAAGTTTAAAAAAAAATCAAAAACAAAAACAAAAACATGAAAACCAAGACTCACACACACACACGTGTGTACACGCACATACACACACACACACACACACACGCTCGCTCGCACGCACGCATCCATGCACAACCAAGCTAACACACACATGGGCTTCTACAAACCTAGGCTTCAAGAAAAATTCTTCTCTACTTTTTGGAACGAAACCTTTTGTTCACCATCAGAACATATCATAAATGTAGACTTAGATTTAGTCTAAGCTGCTCCCTCCAGAAGACGCTAATATGGGGAAACAGCAGCTGGCAGCTAGATTTAAAAAAAAAAAAAAAAAGTAGTTCTCCAGGCTCCTTGTAGGATATATGTCATTTCTTGTCCACTCTCGGCAAAGGGATGGGATTCCAGCACATCCCCTCGTCCCCCCCCCCCAAATAAATGAGAACCCCCCAAGACACAAAAACACAGATTTTTAAAAAATCACACACAAAAGCCAGCCGATCCTAACAGAAATTATTGATGTGAGACGGATAATGTGTTAATTTGACAAGCAACAGAAGGGTGAAGAGGACCTCTTCTCTGGCCCACGAGCTGCATAGCTGTGCCGAAAGTTTGGTTCTTTAGTTAAATAAAAAAAACAAACAAACAAACAAAAAAAACCGAACAACAAAAAAAGTTAACTTCTTTGTTATTTTCATGTTTAAAATAAACACATTCCTATTCACAAAAAAACTAAATCTCCCTTGCCCCCCAATTAAAACAACAATAACAACACACACACAAAAAGAAACAATTTATATGAAAAAAACTGAATTGTGCTGTGTTTGTAACACTCAACTTGATAGGAAATAAACGTGGCGAACGAAACGGCTTGAGCACTTTAAAATCAGCTCACATGGATCTACCAAATGCTAAATTATAGTCGAACACTAATAAACAGCTTACCTGGAATAAAGGATGACAATTCACAAACAGTTATCTAATAATTAAAGTCTGTTTCTTTTTTTTTGTTTTGTTTTTTACTAAAATAATTAAAAAAATCACAGTATTTTAAGAAATAAAACCCTCGTGGGGATTTTAAGCACAATTTGTGTTCCTTTCTTTAAAACTCTTTTTTTTTTTTTTTCTCCATTCACCATCTTGCCCAGCAGTTCTCTCTACATTTAACCACAAGGACGACAGGTAGTACTGACAAATGCAGAGAATTCCCTTGGTTAAGTTTGAGGTACTAGGAAACAGGTGACTGTTTTATGCAAAGCAGTTTTTTTTTGTTTTGTGTTTTTGTTTTTTGTTGTTTTATTATTATTATTATTTTTTTTTCCCAAAGCGGCTGCAGTTAGGTCTTGAAAAAGCTTAAGGTATTAAAACTAGAAAAACGCACCGAAAGTTGTGCGTCAAAAAGTTGTTCCCTATGAGAAGTCTTGTACTGTCTCCGGAGCTTGTTTGCACACACTGTCCAAGACCGCCATGGAGCGCACCGTGCCCACGAAGGTGCTTCCATATCCGCCATGAATAAAACTTCCATGGTGAAGATCTCGAAGAAAAAGATGGAGTGATGGAAAAGGAGCCACATATTCCAACCATTTAAATAACTTTAATTTACATACTCACTCACACAGGTACCAGTGCTTTGAAAATAGATTGTTCAGTCCTAAAAAGCAGCTTTGTTCTGTCTTCTCGTTTGTCTGTCCCCCCCCCTTCTCAAGCCCACGCCGGCCCTCCCACTTTTTCATCACGGTTCAAGTAAGGTTTGATTAAGAATTTCACCAAACTCTTATTCGTTTTTGGCCTCTGCATTCTCTAGGAGAGATTTGTCGGCAGCTACTACACAGATGGCTACTGTTTCACTCTTTAGGGAAAAGTCTATTCCAACTGGCTCGTCGTCATCTTCCTTTTCCTCTATGGAGGGCATCTTGACACTGTCCTCCACTATCTCCTTCGGGAGGATGTCTTCTCTGCTCACTTGCTTGGTGTCATTCAATGCCCTGGGGCAGGGGGTGGGGGAAACACACATGGAAGAGACAGATGAGTATATAGGCTTTTCCTAATTAAATATTAAAAAAAACCCTCATGTCTCTATTTCCACCATCCTAAAAAGCCTTTGGGGTTTCCTTTGAATAGGGCTATCAATATATATAACTACATTGCCAAAGAAGGGCCTTGCTATCTGTAATACTGAGGTCAACTACTTTTTTAAGATCTGAACTTACATTAATATCCACTATTGTACTGTGTTTCAATTACACCATGTTTTGTTTCCAGATGAACATAATCATTTTAGGTTATCTCTTCTACAAAGTCAGAAGTGGTAAAACAGCAAGCATGCTCACATCTATCAGGTGAACCAAGAAACTTGGAGATTGACTATACTTATTAAGACAAAAAGGTACTAAAAGATTTACTGAATGGGACCCAGTAACAAACAGCTGAAATAACCAAAAAACAAAAACCTGAAGTCGGAACCCGCAGACATCTTGGGAAGCTAGATAAATTCTGTTAAGTTGCCAAACTCAATGTTTTGGGGCTTTTTTTTTTTCCCCCCCCTCAGGAAAGGACCAAATCTCAGCTTCTCTGGTGAACTAGAGGTACCTTGGAGAGGGGACAACTTTAAGACTATGGATCTTAGAAATATGGGACAGGTGTGCTCTCCACGACCTGGGAGGAAGGCAGAAGCTGGCTTTGACCTCGAGGCAGGGCAAAGGCAAGTTCGAGGCCCTCAGGGAATGGCCAGTCACAGAGGCAGGAACGAAAGCCAGATGTCTACATCCCGATTCACACTAAAGGGATGCTGGCCAGAGGTGTGTTGTTCATAATGATGGTTCTCCCTCCCCTGACTTGGGCCTGGGTAGACACTTAAAAAACCAACAGTGAAGGAGAAACCCGGTCCCTTCCTCACAACTGCCTCTCCTCCCATGACCTAGAAAGTTGACAAGGAGGGATCAACATTGTGTTGGGAGATCGTGGGAGGGAGAAAGGGAGGGAGGGAGGAAGGGAGGGAGGAAGGAAGGGAAGGAGGAAGGGAAGGAGGGAGGGAGGGAAGGAGGAAGGAAGGGAAGGAGGGAGGGAATGCACGAGCCCGGCCTCCCTCCGACCCTGTCTCCACTTACATGCCGTGTCTCAGCACGTGTCTCTCCCACTCGGAGCCCTGTGAAAATGCCCGTCCACAGAATTCACATGGAAAACGCTTCTCAGTGTTCATCGGAGTCCCACAGTCACCAAATCTCATCAGCTCTGCAAAGAGAAAGCATTCGTGTTACCAGTGTCTTACGGGAGGTGGGGGACGTCAAGGTGGGTCTCCGTTCCCTGGGAACACCTCCCCCTGGCCTGCAAGGCCATTCAGTGAAAGCACCCCCCAGGCTCCTCACCCTGTCTTGGGGTTTCCCAGGGGGGCATTTCTTGAACAGCTTTCCGGAACTGCTACTGGCTCTGGGCCCCAAGCCTCCCCATCTTTTCTCACATCTCCCCCAGCAGCTTCTATTACAAATAGTCCAGGGATTTCTTGCCAGAAGTGTCCTCTCTGCCCATTCCAGAGGCACCTGAGCATTTTCTTCTCTTTAGCCTCGCCCTCCTATGTAGGCTCCGCATCAGGCCCCACCATGTGGCACCTATTCATTTTCCACCTGACACAGGTTTATCTTTGCTTACTAAAATGAATAGAGATGACCCAAGGTACTCAACTCAGTCACGGCTGTAGACCCCAGGGCTTTCCCTTGTTCCCCGTGAGGCCAAAGCCTCATGCCTTATGGGCACCTGTCATGGAGGGCATCATGAACACCTCACAGGGTGGTTGGGGGTCCTGAATRAGATCGGGGAGGAAAGAACCCGGTATGACCACGAATCCAGACAACCTGGGGCCAGAATGGGAAGAAAGCATGTCCCCAGCCAGGCTTTCCAGGGTCCTGGGCATCTGACTGCCATCTATCCTCAGTGACATTCATGAAAGGGGGTGCTCTACAGACCTTTTTGGAAAGGTCTGGACAGGTCTGTCGTAAACACCAGATACTAGTCGCTTCTGTTTCTTTCACGGTGCTGCGCACATGTTAGGGTCTGATGAACGTAACCAGCTGGCTGTTTCCAGGCCACACATCCTGGCACACTCAAAGACGACAGCTTCTATGGCTTTCAGGCTCTCGTAAGTTCCAAGCCTGCACTTGTGTTTCATTGTAGCATACAAGGCCACCTCTTCACAGGGGACTAATAAACAGCAGGACGAGATGGTTCTGAGCCAGACGGCAAAGTGAGAGCCGTGTGTGGGGAAATGCTGATCCTCTCTCCGTACCTGACCACTCTGGGCCCACACACACACATGAGAGGTCATAGGAAGCCGTCTCCTGGTAGAAACAACCCATCTCACAAAATCCTCAGGACAATGTTAACAGGATAGGAGCTCTGAGATGCCTTAATCTCCAGCACAAAGAGCTGTGTGAACGGGCCGGGTTTTCACAAAAGATGAAACATTTTCTCACAAATTAAGAAGATCACCACACAAGCCATTAAAAATAATTGCACAGACTATCTTCCTTGATTCTTTTCATTGGAAATGAGACAGCACCATCTGCTCTGCGCATTAATTCCTTAGCAGGGATTATCTTGGGCAAGAAATCAACAGAATGCCTTCCTGACTCCTCCCCGGCTGCATAATGAGAGGGGGCGGGGCGGGAGGATCTGCCTCGGGGTTCATTTTGATTTCTTCCTGCCCCGTCTCCCCTCTTTCAAATTCCCTCCCTGCACCCTGGGCAGGCCCACCGGGTTCAGTCCTCTCTCAGTGTTTGGAAAGGAGGTTGGGAATGGGTAGCGAGGAGGCAGTGAACTCCCTAAATTGAGGGTATCTGATGAAAGGCTAAATTGCCACCGAGGAAAATGCTCCCGGTGCATTTGCTCCTTCACCCTCAGGAAACATGAAGCCACTCATCTGTTCTCTCCAAAGGCAAATGCTAAGTTTCATCCTCAAAGGAGGAGGCCACTCATTACCTGTCACACTTCAAATAGCTCTCCCTCAGCCTGAGAGCTACACTAACACCACCTCCCGCCCTCTGCTCCTGCAACCCAGAACGTCTGGCAAAGACACCCCGAGGCTATTGTCTGACGGGCAAGAATCTGCAGTGAAGGTGGGAAATTGATTCTAGGTCTATTCAAAGGTGACGGGACAAAGAAGGCTGTTCTTGCAGGGTGGGTGAGAGGCAAGGGAAGGATTAGGCTTGTCATTCCCATTGACATGGCTGGAAGTCACTTAGTCAAGTCTGCCCACCTCTGGAGGAATACTGGGTTCTCTACCCCAGGACTTTTCCCCGCCAGTGGTTAAGGTTTGTGAATGTGGACACCACACTTTTCAAGGTAAGTCAATCTGTTGTCTGATGCTACGGAGTCGAATGAAAAAGGGGCAACCCAGCTGGACAAGCAGGGACAATGAGCCTGTTGTCCCACAGGCATCCCAACTGTCATTTCTTCTAATTTCCATTTATTTATTTATGAGCCACAGGGAAAGGAAGGGCTAGAAGGGGTTTGGTCTCTGTAATGCTTATCACCTCTAAAATAATGTGGGCATGTGCACAGTTTTGGACACCAGGAGGAGTCCTAATATCCAACGAGGAATGATTTATTTCCTGAAGAGGAGTGGCAGGGCCCCACAGCATCATGAAGTACCAGAAGCCTTTATACCCTCTGTCAGTAGCATCCTCTCCCAGAGTGTTCTCCTTAGAGTGCACAGATGTGAAGGATTCATTGTGAAGAACAGATGGGTGAAAGGTTTAAAAAAAGAAGAGGAGAAGAAAGGCCATGCTTCTCAGGTCACCACCATTTCCCCTGAGAGGATGGGTGAACCCAGCCTCTCCTAATAGAAGTGGTGAACCYCCCAAGAACCACCGGCCTAGATGGYGAGGATGGTTTTCTTTGTTTGTGTACTTTCCAGGTTGACCAGAGGCTTGGGGCTTTTCACAATCTGGCACACCTGGGCTGTCAGTCCCTGTCACCTGTCTTAGATGGAGGTTCAAAGGCCAAACTGAACCCCCTGCTTTGCAAAACCACGGTCCTCTGGTTACCTGGAGGGTGGGTGGGAGCAGGGGAGGAACAGGAAAGGGGAGAAGGAAATAGGCTTCCTCAAGCTTGCAGACTGACCGATCTAGAAAAACAGAGGCACTCTGCACAAGTAGACCTTGGACAAGGCCCTGTGGGCCACAAATTCACAGATGTCAGGGCCACAGTCCCTTCAATAGAGAACACTTTACTGCCCAAGGGATTGGGCAAGTGGTAGATATAATTATAAAAAGTCTTGCCGTTGGGGCTAAAGACCCAATTCAACTATGTAATGTGTGTGTGTGTGTGTGTGTGTGAGAGAGAGAGAGAGAGAGAGAGAGAGAGAGAAAGAGAGACACTTTGGACAAGCTCTTAAATTTTTGAGAACTTCATTGTCCTGTTTGTAATAATACGCAATGTTATTATTTATTAGGTGATTACTATGTTCTAGGTACTGAGCTAATAAGCTAAGGTCTTGGGTGTTATCCCATTTATTTATTTTTTTCCGTTGCTAAGAGCTTGAACCCAGGACTTTGTGCATCCCACGMACGTACTCTACCAYGGAGCTACACCCAGCCCTTATTTAATCTTTACAACTACCTACAGAACCACAAAAGACCCCAGATAGCCAAATCAGGGTTGAACAAACAGAGTATGACAGAGGCATCACACTCCCAGTTTTCCAAATCTACTGCAAAACTAAGATGCTCAAAATGGCACGGTACTGGCATAAAAACAGACACATAGCCCAGCATAACAGCATAGAGTCTAGACGTTTATAGCCTGATTTTCAAGAAAGTTGCYAAGAAAACAGAATGGGAAAAGAACAGTCCCTTTGTAAATGGAACAACTAGATATCCACCTGCAGAAGAATGGAACTAGAACTTTATCTCACGTGAGATTAGAAAATAATTCAAAATGGATAAGATGTAAACACAAGACCTGAAGCTATAGAACTTCCAGAAGAAAGTGTAGGGGAAGCAGTTCAAGGCACTGGACTGGGCAAGGATTTTTTTGGACATGACCTCCAAAGTACAGGCAAAAGYAAAAAAGATAAATGGGATTATATCAAACTAAAAGCTTCTGCCCAGCCAAAGAAACAAGAGTGAAAAGACAACCTCTATGGAAATGTTCAACATCACTAATCACCAGGGAAATGCAAACTGAAAACACAAGGAGACATCACCCCACACCTGGGAGAATGGCCGGTATCAAAAAGAGGAAAGATAACAAATGCTGGAGAGGATGTAGAAAAAAAAAAAAAAAAGGAACAGTCCCAGTGGAATTGCTGGGTCTGTAGCCAAAGAAAATGAGACAAGAATGTGCAAGAGGTGTTCCAACGTTCACGGCAGCATGTTCACAAAAGCCAAGATACAGACCAACCTACGTGTCCATCGGTGGATGAATAAAGACAATGTGATGCATATACCCACGTCAGTTTAACAAGGAAGGAAATCTTGTCATTTGAGACAACATGAGATGAACCTAGAGGATATTACATAAGGGAAAAAAGCCAGGCACAAAGACAAACATTGAATCAACTCGCTTCTACGTGGAATCTAAAAAGGTCAAACTCATAGGAGAAGAATGGTGGTTACCAAGGGGGAAGGGACGGAGAACCAGGAAGATATTGGTCCCAACATACACAATTTCAGTGAGGAAAAATAAGTTTGAGAAAGCTAATGAGCAACATGATGACTACAATGAAACACAACATATTGTATACTTGAAAATTGCTAAGAATGGACTTTAAATGTTATCATCACAAAAATTTAATAATTTAAATGTGTAAGTTATTAGCTTGGTTTAGCCATTCCACAATATATATGTAGTTCAAAACAGCATGCTGTATGCCATAAATGTCTATAATTTTTATTTCACAATCGAAAAATAAATAAAAATTTAAATGAATAGTTAAAATACAATATCAAAGGCTAACACCTACAGTTTTAAAGTTAAAAAGTGTAAAGGTTGAATACAATCCCCTACACTGAACTTGGCATGTAATGATGCTCAGTCACAGCAACCAATACTATTCTTCTCACTCCTGGGATGAGATCTCTAATAATTATTTCTTATATTTATGTTATCCATATGCTTTTGATTATAATAACTAAAGTAACACATTCCAACCCATATTCTTACATGTGTAGTCTGGGGATTTCTACAACAGTCTATGATGAACAACAGAGAAAAACAACACTCTAGACCACAAATTGTATCTACAACTAAATATACTTTGGAAACCTTTTTATTTTGGAATAATTAGAGCTTGGCAGGAAGTTGGAAACAGAGGTTCAGAGTCCAATGGTATCTTCCCCAGTTCATTCTGTAAATGCCCGATGGAATGAAAGATGTGGTCTCTCTCCCTCTTACAAAAGTGGAAACAGCTCCAAGGGGGTTAAGAGATGGGCCCAGCAGAGGGATGCAAAAAGAGGGCCCAGGTATTTTTTTTTTTTTTTTTTTTTTTGCAGAATGAAATAATGAATTCCAAGTTCACTGGGTTTCTTGATAGCCTGACAGTGTCATTCATCATGCTGCCTGCCTGTCCTCATTCTGAAGATCCTCAGACACTACTTTTCCTTGTTAAAAACAAACCACAGACCACCGACCCCCCCACCTATGTACGATTCGGGAGCCCGGGTCTGTTTTCCTTGGAGTTTCTAGAGCTGGTAATGGTTTACAGAGACAYGGCCCCTGCTCTTGGAGGCAGTCTGTTCTGCTGCTTAACTAAGAGGGATCATTCCTTCTGTTACTCTCTCGGCAACCTCCTGCCTCCCTTCTGTCCTCACCATGGACGCGCCGGGTGCCATCTGGGACTGAGAGCGCAGGGCGAGACTAACCTCGGTCTTCAGCCTTGCTGTTCATCTCCTCTTCCTTGTCCTCATCATCACTGCTGGAGCTCTCCATTTTTTCCTTCATCTGTTCCAGCTGATCCAAGTTAACCCGTCCAACCAGCTCAAAGTTACGGCTTACCTGAAAAAGGTCCAAACAGACGAGGGAACAATGAACTGCACAGACCGCACGGGGGTTCTCCCTGGTGGAGACCTCGCCAACATCATTCTCCTGTGACAGTGCTTTTAAAACCAGGACCCAACAACCCAGATGCCCCAAAGGTCCTTTTCTTTACTGTGATTCTGTGCTTTGCTTCCACCTTGCACTRTTTTCACTGCGACTGTCAACACCAGACTTTACTTACCACACTTGTTTTCTTAAGAAACATGAGTACAGAGAGCAGAAGGCAAGATGCATCATYGAGTACAGAGTAGAGAGTAAGCGGCATTCAATAAGTAAACATTTTGAGTTGAATTCCAAGGTGTGACTTTCATTAACTACCTAAGGTTCAAACACTTCAGAGGTAAAGAAGCAGGGCAAACATCTAGCATTGGGAACCAGACCCTTCTTTGCCATGGTCCCATCAACTGGGGGTTATACGCTGGTCCAGCTTTGGCCAGAAGACAAATGACTGAACTCTGAACTCTTGGATTAGATGGAAGACAATTTTATGATTACTGGTTTAGCTGTTATACTTGAAGCTGACCCAGAGCCTATTTATCAAGGCTGGGATTATCTGAGAAAAATGTAGACAACTAATTTCTTTTTAAATATATTTTTTTAGTTGTAGGTGGACACAATACCTTTATTTTATTTATTTATATGTGGTGCTAAGGATAAAATCCAGGGCCTCGCACATGATAGGAAGTGCTCTACTGCTGAGCCACAAGCCCAGCCCAACAACTAACTTATTAAAAGTCCTTTCAAAGAGTTAACTATGGTTCCTATTCATATAAAATGTGGTTGGAATAATATGGGAATCTAAGCCATCTTCAAAATATCATTCAAGGGAAACAGAAATCCATATAAGAAAAGTCTTGAATGATTTTTTGTTGTTGTTGTTTTGGGTTCTTAGACCAATGGTGGTACAAAATTCACATTCTTCATTAATTACTTCCGGAACCTCTCCAGTGGTATGTGTGGGACTGTCAGGAATGAAAAGGTGCCACAGGACTCATGCCAATGCCCAGCCTCAGCTCCAGTCAATAACCAGTCATAGCTACTTCTCTGTGTAAGCGCCCCTTATTGGAGGCCAGGGGAGGGGACATGACAAAGATCAACAAGACTTGGATCTGGCCTCCAGAGGCTCACAGTTCAGTTCAAGAGGGAAGGCAGACATCATTAATTAGATCACAAGGCAAATTTTCTCGGTTGCCACAGTAGAGACAGAGTGTAATGAGGGCACAGGAGAGGAAAAGAGAGAATTTACAAGACAATTCCAAAATATTCTCTGGGACCAGATTGGAACAAAGATTTGCTGAGCACCATCAATTCCATATGTCTGGCAGATGGGAACATCATCACTGACTGTGACAAATGAGAGAGAGAGAGAGAGAGAGAGAGAGAGAGAGAGAGAGAGA